GGGTCTGCAACCAAATGTGTTTGGGAAGCGTGCAGGAAGTGTTGCATAAAATCTGATTACAAAAGACAGAAGAGGGAAAGGATTCAGAAGGGAAATGGGAAGAGTTTAGGGCTAATTATTATATGCTCAAGTGTGAGCGTGGCCATCTGGCAACTCGTCCCCAACCTGTACCCTCAGGAGAAAGGAAACTGTGATGAGTAGAAAAGATGAGCAAAAAAAAATTAAACACTTGAAAGAGAAAAATGGGACAAAGAAAATTATAAAAGCTCTAGAAAGATTTGGCAAGGGTTGTAGAGAAGCAGTAAAACTGGAGGGGAGCAGAGAAGCTACCTGAAGGTTTAAAAAAAATAAATCTGAGGTTGGCAAAGGTTCATCATCCTACTGTTTGGGGGGAAACAGCGGCAAAATCTCAAACACCTGCACATGCACTTCTGTAAACAGCAAAGAATACACAGCCAGTAAGGTCTCACACAGAAAATAAAGAATTGTCACTGCTGTTAAAATGTGCATCAAAAATATATTTACAATGGCCTCTGCAGCCAAGAAATGTACAGAAGGCATGATTAGAAACATCACTGTCTTTGGCCCTGACAAAAACTACTCATCACTTTTATAAGGAAAGCAGTCTTTAATGTCAGGAAGGAAATAGTTATATGTATTAAAAGAAAGGAGTAGAATTTCTCTTTCAAGTTTAAACTTCTCCCGTATTTTAATTTGTAAATATATTTTCTGTATTTGTAACTTTATAACGGCAATGAGGTTCTATCGGAAATGAAACACTTGTATTCCAGAGTTTCTTCTGATTCAACTCTTAACTGTCCAATTTATTAATAGAAGAATTTTTATATATGTAAGGATCATGCCTTTATAATGAGAAATAATTGCACCAGTTCTGATTACCATATAAATTGTTCTTGAGGTAAAATGGGTTAAAAGATCTTGTCAGACCAATCATATCACTGATAGGATCTTAAAGGAACCCATTTGTTCTCTTGATGCTTCTTTTATCGGAGGATTACCACTTTTTTATGATCAATTTTCTTTGTTGTTGGGGGTCTGCTAGTCTTAGTAAAGTTATCCTGAAGCTTTTAGGTCAGTAAAAGAAGTTTCAAGAGAAATAAAGGCACTAAAGTGAATAAAACTGTCTTCAATATAAAGGTTCACAACTAGACAGAGAGTGAGTAATAAAAATATATTCTGCTTATTATGTTTTCTAATGTGAGGAGACTTTGGCATTTATTTCAATTTTTTAATGTGGAAGGATATTAGATGAGATTGTACAGCCAACAGGGTTACTATTCATAGATACCCTTGTAAGCTGCCAGTCATCCCAGCCAGTAGCTCTGGAGAATGGAAAATTCATGAGATGCTGGAAGTAATATAAAGCAATATTTTGCCCTTCAACCCTGGGTCAAAGCTGATTCAGGTGGGTACCATTTCAGGAATAATTAGGATTGCATGTCATATAGGTTGTAATTATCTTCTTGAATTTTAAAATATTATGCAAGCTAGGCCTATGTACTAATATTTAAAGGAGCATTAGCAGTAGGATGTGTGATGTAGCTGATTCTGTATGGGCTTGGAAGGAAATTCAATGTGCTTTTGTTGCTCATGTCTTTAATGAGTTAAAAGTACTGATGAGTTTGAGCCCTTCCTCCTCCCCCTCCTTTCTTCATTGATTTCTCCAAAAACTCAGCACAACTCTGCTGCTTCTCTCCTTCTCCTTTAGTTGTTTTTCCAGGTCAGGAGGAGTGCAAAAAGAAAGGGGGAAAAGAGATGGAATCCTACCAACATTGTTCATACTCTTAATGTTCTTTTCTTTATTGTTTATATTTTAGCTGAAGTGGTTTGAAATGTTGGTGATTAATACATGCATGTGTTTGAAGGAAGTACCAAATCAAGTTTTTCAGTGACTAAACAACACAGAAGTGTTTGGAAAAAATGGTTTATCAATGGTAATGACAAAATGTTTATCAACAGAAGCAAAAGTTCTTCCAAAAAATCATTTGTCCTCTTGTTTTGTCTGGTTGTGACAGCAATTAAGTGGTGGAAATCATTAAGAGACAAGAGAAATTACTCTGATGAGTAACTGGGCAATTAACTACTCCTAAATCAATAAAAAGTTTAATATCACAATTTCTAAACTTTTTTTTCCCATTTGATTTAATCCTTCTCCCCAAAAATCTTTCTTTAGTCTTTTAGTCTTTATTGGTGGTGCATGTATAACTGCTTGAAACTCCAGATATAAGCAAACAAAAATAGACTTTTGTTTAACATGAATATGTGAAGCAGTTGATATTCTCTTTCTTCAATATGTCTGGGAATACAATAATATTTGAGGATAAAGAATAATGAACCAAATAAAAACTGAAGAACTTTCAAAGCTACAAACCTTGAGAGAAAATGTGAAGTCTCAATATTCATTCAATGTCATGACATAACCATACAATTCCATGGCTTATAAAATTGCTTGATTGTTTCCATCTTTTGATTCTGCAGAGAAATGTGCACTTGCTTGGTTTTTATAGTATGTAACAACTACCATGTGTTTCCTTTAGTTAAAGGCACAGGTGAGATGGAAAAAGTAACAACTTGATTCTTTAATAAAAGAATCTTGCCAGTGAGGCAAAAACATTTTTGGTACCCTCTACAAGAGTGCAAATATTTGATGATTTTTGGAAAAAAACCCACAAGTTTTCTATGGTTTCTTATTCAATACAACTTTAGTCAGAAGTGTTTTGTATAATATTAGAAATAGATTTCTCAGCACACTCTTTTCATATGAAACTGTTGCAATAGCAAAATGCAAAGTTAATCATGATGAAAGGCAAGAAGTTCAGAACCTTCTGATAAATGCCTTTTAAAAGAAACAAGTGTAAGATTTCTTGGTTCTGAAGCTGTGGGTTTCCACTGGTTCTGAGCTGTGCTTAACCAGAAACCTACAACAATACTTTGTACATATTTAATGTGCATTGATAATAACAGACTAGAGACATCCCCAGTCCCCTTTTTCCCATTTTTTTTTTCTGCTTTGCATGTTAATCTGGCATAATTAATTGCAATTGGGAGTGCTGTCAGTATTTTATCAGCTGCAGATTTATGGAGTGGATAAGATGTTGATTATTAAGATTATTAAGAAGGTCCTCCTGATAACTGAGTGCTAGACATTGCTGGGGCTTTAGGCGTTTATGGCTGGGCTTTGAGTTTTTTTAAATAAAGGTGGGAAAAAGATAAGAGCACAGAAATAGAAATTGTGAATATTTTCCAGTGAAGTTACAACTCAAAAGGGTCAGGAGATGTAATTGCAACTGTACAGATACATGGAGCAGAAATGTAGTACATGCATTTCAAAACTATCTCAACAGCATAAGTGAGTAGGTAGCTGTGGAGTCTTTCTTTTGTTTTCTTTCATTTTATTTTCCTATCTGCACAGGTTATCTTTTCCTACACAATGCTGTTCTCCCACGAGCCTGGCAACATCCACATCCTTCTCATATTTGCCAATACGAGACCTGATTAATTACAAAGTGAACTTCAAGAGTCCCTAAATGGGGCAAGACCAAAGCCATGGGTGCATTTTACAGAAAAGGAGGTGCTGACAGTGTCAAAACAGAGTGCAGTGAATCCTGCAGAGCTGGCTGCTGCCCTTGATCCTTAGAGGTTAATACTCTCTCCCCCAAATTCAAGACAAAAACTCTCAGTAGGAAAAGACTTCCCCTCCTCACAGCTCAGGCTGGTAAAACTAACTTCGTTGCCCAAAGATGTGGGTTGAAAGTCCTGCATCAGGCACCTTTAAATGTTTCTAAAAGGCATCATCTGGGATGCTTAGAAAAGAGAGAAGCAGAAGCCACAGCAAGCTCTCTGTGGTCCTTGCCAAAATGGTCAGTGCCCTCAGGTGTTTCAATCAAATAACATCCTCAGCTGATTGCACAGGTTTGAGACTGAAAGATGGTGAAAACTCTTCTCCTAATCAGTGCTCCCACTTCTTGCAGTGCTGTGAGGGGGTGGCAGAGGGAGAACTTGGGGCAAATCATCCCTGTGCCATCCTCCCATGTGTGCTGTTCAGAGAGCCCAGGCCTGCCTCCCACCATCACCCCTCCAAGCTGAGGGGTTCCTCCAGGCTTAAACTCCCAGAGACACAGCAGGGGAGGCAGGGTGCATTATTTGGTAATTGCATGAGTAAGTGGGGATCCCTGCATCCAGGTAAGGCAAAGGAGGGGAGTTGCACCAGTGGGGAAGGACATGGAAGGTCATGGACCTGGAGAGCCCTGTGTGACTGGAGCTGTGTGGGAGGCACAGGGAGCATCCCAGGGGGATGACTGGGGGAGGAACATCCGCTGTTACCTCTCGGAATGGGGTGCAGAATGACGCCCCTGTGCTCCTGGATGCAGCTTCAAGTTGTTCTGGCAGATCTACTCTGCCACGCAAGGGAGGGGAGTGATTGAACTGACTGATAATTTTGCATGCTGGTTTCACTCTCCTTTCCCTCCTGTCCTAGCACACGCATGCACACAGCCCTCCTTCCTAAAAGACTCCTAGGTCTCCTAGGTACGGGATCAAACACTCCCAGCCCGGGCATGGCAGAGGGGGAGAAGCGGCTCCAGCCCCTCCCGGAGCGGGGCGGCACAGCGGGGTGAGCAGAGCCCGGCATGCGAGGGGAAAGCCCCCTTGGAGCCCCCAGGCAGCCCTGCCCTCCCCGGCAAGGCTCCCTCGCCCCGCCTGCTCCGGGGCAGCCCCTGCCAGCGCTCCGGGCTTGAGAAGGGGGCGCGCCCACGCCATCATCGAATCCACACCCCCGGGAGGACAGCGGCGTGCCAACAGGGGGAGGGAAGGCGGGCAGGACAACGCCACTCTCATGCCAACCTCGCAGCCGGCTCTTCCTGCAGGAGGCGAATCGCGGGCGCTCCCGGGGAGCCGAGCCCCGGCAGAGCCGAGGCTGGGATGAGGATGAGCGGCTGGGGCGGCGGCTGCAGCACCGCGGACAGCGGCAGCACCGAGCGGCACCGCGGACAGCGCCCCGCGGCCACGGCCGCCCGCTGAACGGAGCCCGCCCGACGCGCTCATGTGAGAGGCTCCCCGGGGATGGAGGGACGGATGGGTGGGTGGATGGTGCCCCTGCCCCTCTCCTCTCGGCTCCTGGCTCCAATGCCGCTCCTCACTTAGGCACTGGGAAGTTCTGTGGGGGTTAGAGAGGTCTCTGGGTGACTCTGTCTCCTGCGAGCCTGAGGATGAGCTGTGGGAGTGGGGAGGGTTGGTTGTGTGTGATAGAATTGATTTTAATATCAATCAGTTTGGTTTGGCTTTTCAGCAGTGCTTTGCCTTTTCACCGGTGGTTTGGCTTTTCACGAGTGGTTTGGCTTTTCATGGGTGTTTTGCCTTTTCACCCTTGGAATTTGTGCTTGCTGTCAGTGTAACGCAAAGGGTTTGTTGTTTGTTAGTAGCCACATGGTTTGGAGGCACGCTGTTGTCTTCTTTGGTAGCTGGGTGAAATGGTTAAGAGTTTGTTTTTCGTTAAAGCAGTTTGGGCTAGGTGAAATATAAAAAGAAGAAGTGAAAGGGGATGCTGTATCCTGCCTGTATCATGCCTGTTGCAGCTTGCAAGGGCTAATGGTTGTCAGGGGTCCTTCTCTGCACGCTGTTTCCTGTCTTGAGATAACTATGAAGTGAGCATTGAAAAGGGTGCATCAGCAGGGGAAAATGACATGCAGCCAGAACAGAGATTATTAGTTCTTTTCAAAGCTTTTCTTGCTCTTTTTAATGGAACTGCTTGTTGAAAATCAGCGTTACACTGCCCCCTGCTTGAACAATTAGAGATTTTTCGTTTCTCTCATCACTAGTAAAAATTTATGAATGAACAGGTATATCTCTGTTGTGTTCTCTAGTATGATCCAAGCCTGAGTTTTGAAGCGCTTCAACAGTGAGAGTGAATTATTCCTAGTTCCTAAAGCCAGATTTAAAATAAAAAAGTAGAACTCATTCTTCTTGTGACAGTTCATTTGGTGGTCAAACATATTAATGAATGAACAATGGGACAGAATATAAAAATAGTACATTTTGGTACATCTATATCAAATGTTCTGTGATAAATTTGTAATAATTAGCCAACTTCACAACCAGAGATTAAGGGGAAACAAGGAAGGAAGGGGAAAAAAGTAACCTAGTACTTGTTTTATAACACAAGAATTTGAATAAAAGAGAAAAGATCCTAATTTGTCAGTCTCTTCTGCTGTAAAAGTAATGTATTGGTGCACAACATTTCTATGGGATGGGGAAGAAAATGCTGATGATTAGTTTATAAGAAAGAGGAGGGTGAGACAGCTGAAAAGCAGCGGATGTTTTTTTCTGCAGGATAGCTGGTAGAAAACCAAATTCCATTTCCTTTTTGTTTTTCCAAACCACAAGACAGAGCTGCCTCCTTTTTAACAGAGAGCAGGGAGGATTGGAAAATGTAGATGCTGTTAAAGATTTGGTGGTCCATCCTCAATGTTGCTAGGCTATTTTCCTCAGACCTTTTGCTTCACGTCACAAAGATGTTAAAAGTGTTCATGTGTGTCGTTGATCAGCAGTTTTTAATGGCACCAGAGGCCTGGTTTGTCTTCCTGAACATTCTCGTGCTGCCATTCCCTAAAAAGATTTGGAAAGGTGTGGTTTTGCTGACTGCTCCATGAGGAGAGAGACCTCTTTCCAAATTTTTCTTTTATTTGTATGAGCAGTGGGAATGATGGGGAGGGGATATCACTTCCTGCATCTGGTTTGTAGGGCTACTCTGCAAATGAATTAATATTTGCCTGCATGGGCTAAACATTTCTATTAATTACATCAAAAAATCTGTTAATGAAAAACCTAATAATACATCCTGGACATGTACTCAACTTTACATGTAGGAGAATGACCACATTGCTGACAGTATTGAATTGGGGTTTTCAAAGTTGGTCACAATCCAAGAATAAATAAAGTGGCACATCAGCTTTTCAAAGCATAGAAAACTTCTGAATAAGCTGCTGCCAATCAAGGCAGCATCCCAAATTTTACTGAGTCTGTTTACATAGTAAATCAGCAATATGTGAAATAGGATACTCAAAATTCTTGTCTTACAGGAGAAAAAGCTTGACTTAAGGTAAGATTTAGAAGGCTGATTAAGATTTTGGAGAAAAAGGGGGTATCAGAGGACTCTGGCAATACAAGTCTGTGCAGCATTTGGAATGCCAGAGTAGCCTGTTGTATATAGGACAATAAATATATGCAGTTGTGTTCAGTCTGTGTTCCTCACCTGAAGTCTGGAGTATACTTCAAAATAAGTTGCAATTTTTAATTAAAAGATTAAACATTATACTATTTTTACTCTAAAAAAATGAATTATTCTTTTAAATTGATTGATTTTTATATCAGTTTTTATTTTCTTTTAGAACCCAATTTCTTTCTATTTTGTTCATGTTTATAGCATGTCTTGGCTGGCCAGGTTTTCTGTGTGGAACCAAGGGTTAACAGAGAAAAATGGTCCTTTGATATATAAGAGCTGTGTCAATTCCAAAGAGGCCTCAGGGAGTCTGGAGCCTTTATGTGCCCTGATTCTTTTCAGAAGTATTGATGTAAGTAGAAAGAAAAATAATAAGTAAAGTGTCAATTTGACAGTTTCTGAGGCTCTGTAGGAACTGAGGGCAGTACTTTCAAAATGGCTTTCAGAAACTGAAATTTTCTTTTCAACAAGGAAGAGTTAAGGTCTCATCAAAGCCTGCTATGATGGGTGCTTACAGAGCTTATAGGGCACAGTAATGGTTTCAAATCCAAAGTCTCTTCTGTAGTTTCTGGACAAAGGGGGCATTGAAAGGGCACAGGGAGACGCCTGCCAGCTTCTCCCCACTTAGTGAAGGCAAACCCAAAGTGTAGGCAGAGACCAAGTGTCCCTAAAGCTGCCTTTGTAAATGTCCTGCTCAATTTCTAGGCTTAGAGACAGGTAAAGGTTGACATCATCTGAGAATTCCAGAATTGCTGCAGTTCCTAATACCTATTGATTTCAATACCTTTCACAGACTTTGGATGTTTTAAAATCTCAAGCAGGTACTATTCAGCCTCTCCTACAGCTCTGGTTCAAAGCCATGTGTAAAAACTTCAATTCAGCCTTTTAAGGTATTTGGGTCTTTGAACATTTTCTCCAAGCCCCAGCTCCAGGTGGTGGCCCTGCCCTCCCATAGGTTTTTCTGTGGTACTAGAGAGGCAGCACAAGGTGTTGAATGGCAGAGTCTGGAGCACTGTGGAAAGGAAGGTCAAGGAGAGGCCATTTGCTGGAATAAGCTCCATGTGGAGCAGTTCAGCTCCTTTGTTATGACCACCCTGTCCTCCCTGGCAGCACTCAGATCAGTTAAGAGAGTGTGGCTGCAAAAAAAAAGGAGAGTTTCAGCTTCAGTGTGTTTCTAATGCCTCCACATTAAGAACAAATTTCATGTTATGCCATGTTCCCCTCTCAGACACTGTCTCAGCACCGTCAGAGCCAATTGCAAGGACCTGCTCTCAGTCACTTTAATTAGAAACTGAAATGGTCCCAGAGGAAGATTTGTTACCAGCTAAATCACCTTTCAGAAAGAGCTATTCTTCTCCACTCCCCACAGGAGTCCAGACATCTTGTGGCTCCCTCAGCCATGGAAAGCTGGATGTGCTTTGCTGCAAGCAGTACTCAGGCTCTGAAATTTTTAATTTTCTTTTCCTGGACCATTTTGTCTCCAAGAGCACTGCATGCATTGGCATCCTTTCCTAGAAAAACACAGTATTTAACTGCAGTGCCTGATGAGTTTGATCACTAGCTGTCTCAATAAAATATGCAAATACAGAGTCATTTCAATCCAAAGCACCTTTGAAGAAAAATGATAAGATAAATGCAATCAAGTCACAATTACTTTTATTAAGTGAGCACATTACACAGGCTCAGTAAATATGATTAGTTCTAAATGTGCCTGCACACAGCTGAAAAGCAGAACAGAACAAGGTGTTGAGTATAGTTGTGATATTGCAGGAGGGTTCAGCTTCCAAGAGCTTCAGCTATTGCATCCTTTGCTCTTTGCACTACTGCTTCTCTTGTCATGGTTCAGTGCTCAGGTCAAGCATAATTATAACTTTTTTTCAGAAGGGGGTTTGGCAGCTGAGCATGTCTAATGAAATTATTCAAAGTTAAAGGTGTAATTTTTTATTCATCTCTACTTCTCTATAAAGATGATAAAGTGTGATAGCTGAGATATTGATCTTCTCTGCTGATGAGCAAGGGGGTGGGCGGGTCATAATTCATCTGAGGTGAAGCCCTCTGGCTGATGGTGCTCTTGCCCTTAGCTGCAGGGAGTGGAGAGCAGCTCTGTGCTGTAGGGACATCCCTGCAGAACCTTTATGGCAAGATAAATATTGGATGGTCGTTATCTCTGTGAAGAGCAGGTGTTCTTTCCTGTTTCCTCTTTTTCTGATGTAATTTCAGTTGTTAGAAACTGTGTATGAAACCAGTGTTCTCTCTGAATTGAAGAAAGTGAAATGAAGGTCCTCTTTTTCTGGCATGTTTTCACATATACAACAAACAGGTGTGAATTAGCTCTAGGCCAAACTCTAACCTCTTTTTCAGGCAAAAATCTTAACTAGGCCAACAGTAATATTTTGTGTGTTTATGTTTACTTTGGGTGTGATTATAAGACTATCTGTCCCATCTATCTGCCTCCATCTAGAGGCAAAAACATACCTGAAAAGTTTTTCTAAGAAAAAAAATGTAAAGTATCAAGAACTGCATGTCTAGATCAGGAAAAATATCTAATAGATTTCTCACTGTTGGAAATTATACATATTTCTGAGTTGCTTCCAGTACTGATACTATAACAACAAATATAAGATTGCCAATGTCTTACCATACATGGGTTTTGAATATCAAAAAAGCCAAGTGGAATTCCTCCAGCTTGAAACAGCTAATAAAATTAACTGTCCTAAAATATTCAGGCATGTGCAATCCTGCTGCACTCATGGGTGATCACTGAGCACCTACCTGGGCTGGACTGGTTTCCCCTTGATCCCAGCAATGATGGCTTAAATCATCACTAGCTCATCCTTTCAAGTTGCTTAACATTTTAAGAGATTTAATTCAACACTCAGGAACTCCCAAGGCTGTAAATTTTTAAAAAGTGCTTTCTAGTTCCATAACTCCCCACTTAACAAAGTCACAACTCAGAAGTGTTTCTTTGCATGTGCTGTCCTTGCTTGAACTCAGCAAGGTTCCACTACATGTTCAGAATGTAAATGCTGTCCTGAATAGCTAAGGACAGGAGCTCCAGTTTAAAAAAGCATTTGTGCATATGAGTAAACACTTCTTTTTAACCACATGTTACTCGTCCTGGCCTTGCTGGAACTGCTTTTCAGATGAAAGCTAATTACTGAGGAAAATATCAGTGTGTATGCATATATGTTTCCAAAATTTGGACTCCACTGAAATCAGTGAAACCTATAATGTTGACTTCAAAGGGTCCCAAATTTTACCCCAGGCATTTTTTTGGCTTTAGAGAACTCTATATTTCTGTGAAATATGTTAGTTGCATACTTTATTTATTTAGTTGTTATTGTTTTCTCTTATAGTAAATTTCATGTAGTCTAGGGAATTCATTTACTTAACCATATTGCCTTCATTATTCTTGTATACCTCATCTCTATGTGCTTCTTCAACTTCAAACCATGCTGGAAGGAAATAGTTTTGAGATTCATACAGCACTCTATCTCTCAGTGGAGCCTGGGATCATATGTTCAGTTCCTACTAGCTTTTATTAAAATGTTACAGTTATGCATCAAAGCTTAGGGGGAGAGGTTCTCAATTATGAATCTGTTTCAACCTTGTGTGGTCACATAATTGATTCCCTAGGATTTGTTTAAATTTTAATGTAACTCTTAAGAAAATGCTGTAAAATTTGTTTGAAAGTCTTCAGTCCATATCAGCACAATGAATTAAATTATAATTATGTGTTAGTTCCATAATGAATTAAAATTTTAAGTATGTGTTAGTTCCATAAGAACAGCAACCTTGAGAATTTCAGTGTCCTGGATCTTTAGATATTTTGGGTTTCTGATACTTTGTGTTTTGCCAGGTTCTTGCTGGTTCCTTTACTCCTTTGTTACCTATTCTTGAAGGCAATGGACCTTCTCCACTTTGTCTCCTGGCACAGTTCCCTCTCATCCTCACTGCAGAACTTTCCAACTTCTGTAGTATTTTTTCAGAGCAACACATGAACTTTTCATTGACTGAAGGTCAGCACTGACTTGGAGAACAGATGGAGTGTGGAAGGATGAACCTTTGCCACCCACTGAGCATTAACACCTGCTTATTTGTTACATCTGTCCACTGCAGCTCAGAGGCTCCTGAAGATTTTACCTAAGTGCTTTAGGACTTTCTATTGGGCTGAGTGCAAATGCTGTCTGTGAAAGAGGTGTTGTTTTTACCTTTTTAATCAGGCTGCACATTCTGTGGGCTTTGGATGGCAATTAGCTCCACAAGCTTAGACTCTAAAAGGCACTGTGGGTGTGCTGAATGCTGCTGCAATAAAATTTTTTAAAAGAGCAACATTGAGACAGCTCTGAATGCAAAATATGAATGTTTTAAAGGCACAGATACATTTAGGATTTATGTTTATTTCATACAAAAATGCATTTTCTCATCCATGAGACAAACTGCACATCACATTGCTTTCTTTGGGACTTCCAGAGAAGGTGGAATAAGGATAGTTTATCATCTCACCAGCTTCAAGTGAAGGGCATTTCAGCCACATAATCAGTGAGGAAATTTATGACCCTTTTTCTCCTGCCCTCTGTTTGTGATGAGAGACTTGTGTCTTGTATTTCTGCAATAGCTCTCTAAAACATGCTTACTGGGGACTGATGTGATATATGAGGAGTTATTCCTGTGTTTTCCCAGAGTCTCCCCTGGATCTGGGTACTTGTATTTGAAGTAGTGGCTGACTGTATTTCAGTAAGAAATTAGACAGTTCATCATTAAACTCTCTAGATCAGGAAACAGAAAAATGATATTATGTACCTTGAAAAAAAGAAGGGAATGAATAGATGGTTTTCTTGTACCAGCTGAATCTTATCAGAATATGCAATATAATTATCCTTGTTACCATGTGCTTAAAATTAGAAGCATATAAACTTTATGGAACATAGTTTACTGGCCTGATCCTAGGTCTATTGCCAAGGGAGAGTCCTGCTAACTTTCTTTAGGGCCCTCAAGGACAAAATTCAAGAAGAGTAGTTCAGAGAAATATTGTCTTATGCACATTAATCCTAAATACGATGCAAACAATACAAATGGAAAATTATATATATTATAAAATATAAGAATATAATATATAAAATTATATATTTTATATATTTATCATATCATATCATATCATATATCATATCATATCTAAAATAATATCATATATAAAATAATATGTAGTATATAAAATTATATCTATTATAAAATTATGCATTTTTTTTCCTATTTATCAAGTCAAGGATTTGCATCCATGTTGCAATCAGGAAGGGTGAGCAAATCACTTGTCTTTTGTTCAGAAGCTAATCTTTATTCCACATATATCCTAAATTATTTTAAGTAACTGGCGCAGGCCACACAAAGCTAGCCAGATCTGGTCATGATGACACATTTCCAACCTTATTTCAGGTCCTGTGAAATCATGACTGTGCTAGGATGTAACCAACATTCCTCTGTGGTTTTCTGCAGGTTGAGACACAGCAATTCTAAAGACATGCATCGGAGGCACGCCACCCTTCGGGAGAAGGGCCGGCGCCAGGCCATCCGGGGCCCTGCCTACATGTTCAACGAGAAAGGCACCAGCCTCACCGCAGAGGAGGAGCATTTCCTGGACTCCGCAGAGTATGGCAACATTCCTGTCGTGCGGAAAATGCTGGAGGAATCCAAAACTTTGAACTTCAATTGCGTCGATTACATGGGACAGAACGCCCTCCAGCTGGCCGTGGGGAACGAGCACCTGGAAGTGACAGAGCTGCTCCTCAAGAAGGAGAACCTGGCCCGAGTTGGGGATGCCCTTCTGTTGGCCATCAGCAAAGGGTACGTGCGCATCGTGGAGGCGATCCTGAACCACCCGGCCTTTGCGCAGGGACAGCGCCTCACGCTCAGCCCCCTGGAGCAGGAGCTGAGGGACGATGACTTCTACGCCTACGATGAAGATGGAACTCGCTTCTCCCACGACATTACCCCCATCATCCTTGCTGCCCACTGCCAGGAGTATGAAATTGTTCACATCTTACTACTCAAAGGTGCACGGATTGAAAGGCCGCATGACTATTTTTGCAAGTGCAATGAATGTATGGAAAAGCAGAGGAAAGACTCCTTTAGCCACTCTCGCTCAAGAATGAATGCCTACAAGGGATTAGCCAGTGCTGCTTATTTGTCTCTGTCCAGTGAAGACCCTGTCCTTACTGCTCTAGAGCTTAGCAATGAACTGGCCAGGCTAGCCAACATTGAAACTGAATTTAAGGTAACTCACCACTGTGCCTTTTTCCTTGGGCTGAGAGTGTTCAGGCTATTGAGTAGTTTACATGTTTGATCAAATTTTGGGCTGCTGTTTGAGAGGTGGGGGAGTAAGACTGGCAAAGACTGCCAGATGTGTTAGCTATGCATAGATTCAGATCACTGTCAATCTCCAGTTAATAAATGCTTGGAACTGAACATTGCATATTACAGCAGAAGCTTAAGTTTCTGTGTTGCACAGTGTGATTGCTTAGAATCTCTAGTTTGCAGCAGGAATAAAAATTAGATTGTTCAAAAAATGGAGACTCGTTTTTTGTAAGAAAGGTAAGTCTTTTAATTGAGCAATCTATTTTAGAAGCAGAGTTCTAGAGACTGTTTTAAGAATCCAGTACATCTAGTTCTGCTACAATGATAAAAGGGATAAATCAAGAAATTTTGGTTCTCTGTAAAATAATTTAAACTGCATTGCATCTTAATGGTTTGGTGCTGCATCTATACATGATGAATTGCATGAAAAAGGAAAAGAGAAACAATCAATAAATAGCTATGAAGTTTATCATCATGCCAAACATAAGAGTAGAGCTTGTGGAACTCTCTTACAAGTTATTTGAGATTTCCATTATCATAATGAGTTTGTAAATGTCCAATGCCATTTGCAGTATTTCTGTATGTCATTTACATGATGTAAAGAGCATTGTCTTCCTTTCTAATATAAATTAGTCATTAAACCCCTCATTTTCAGTGGCTCAGCCATCAACATTAGCCTTTTTTCTGACTTATGGCTATTGTGCAGCTACAATCAGGATCAGTGACTCTGGGGTAATAAATTCCGTGTTGTGAGTACACTGGGGCAGGATGCTCACCAGGAATCCCACATTTCTAATTAAGAAAACTATTCATGTGTTAAAGCATCTGTTTCAGGATTTGTAGCTGTATACTACTAAGGACTGGGGAGATCACCCGCTGCACCAGGCACTGGTGGGGCTGCCTTGAATCCCAGGTTCAGTTTTGAGCCCCTCACTCCAAGAAAGTCTTTGGGGTTCTGGAGTAGCTCCAGAGAAGGGCACAGAGCTGGGGAAGGGTCTGGAACAGAAGTCTGATGAGGAGCAGCTGAAGGAGATGGAGCCTGGAGAAAAGGGGGCTCAGGGGGCACCTTCTCAGTCTCTACAGCTCCCTGAGGGGGGCTGTAGCCAGGTGGGGCTTGGTCTTTTCTCCCAGATAACAAGCAACAGGAGAAACAGCCTCATGTTGTGTCAGGGGAGGTTCGGGCTGGATTTCAGGGAAGATCTCTTCACAGAGAAGGGGGTCAAGCCCTGGAAGAGGCTTCCCAGAGAAGTCGCTGTGTCACCATCCCTGAAGGGATTTAAGAGATGTGTAGAAGTGTCACTTGGGGACCTGGTTTAGTGGTGGCCTTGGCACTCTTGGGTTTAAAGCTGGATCTTGGAGGGTTTTTCTGACCTAAATGGGTCTATGAATCTGTGCTCTCCAATTTAAAAGTAAGAAGAAAACATATTCTCAGGATTTGTAATTGAAAAAATCACAATCTGGTGAGATCTTCTGGGCAATAAAATCAGGGTAAAATTTTGCAATCTTTTTTTGATGTGCTCAGAATGCAAGGACACAATAATTTGAAGGGGAAGTTTTATTTGGATTCAGTCTGGCTGAAGCAACCTCCTTGGGCTCAGTGAATCCCGGTGCTTGAGTGAGGGTTGCTCCAGTGTGAGGGCACTGGAGGCTCATGCCCGCACTTAACAACAATAATATCTCATTAATGCTCCAGCTTCTTTTCATAGACAGTTGTTTATTGAGAGGAGCATGAGCAGCCCCAAGCATTGAGTGTCTGTCAGTCCTGATAAGTGTCTGGCTGCAGAAGAGTAAATATATTTACTCTTCTGACATAAAAATACCAGAATCTTCTCTTGCACAAATTCTCCAGGAGCAAACCAACAATCCAATATTGAAGAGCTCCATGGTGGTTATATCTCTGCACTGGCAAATGGATGGGAATAAATCAATACCCAAAAAAACCCCAAAACATTAGAAACCATTTACCAAATGATGCATTTCCAGGTTTTCCAAGTTCATTGTCTTGTTGGAAGGGTCTGTGCAGCACACATCCATGAATGTTAGTGAAGTACCTACCCATACTATCAGTTTGCTTCAAAGATTTCACATTCCTTTGCTATATTAATTCTTCCAGAAATAAGAAAGCTCTCAAGATTCTAATCTATTCTCACTGTAGCAAAAAAACCCCAATACCCCTTGAGGTATGTATTTATGTAAAAATATTTATTCTTATTAACATAATCAGTGTGATGTGAAATAGGGTATTAATAAAACAGTGGGGGGTTTTTCACAGAACATGACAACTTAAGAATTTATTTTGAGGAAAGAAGACAATTGCTGAAAATGTATTTAAGAAGTCCGCAAATGAAGAAAGTTTATGAAATTAGACAAGTTCTAGAGGGCTTTTTTTGTGACTAAAATAGAATTTTCCCAGAAACTTAAAATGTTTGATTCCTAAAGTTCTATAATTAAAATTGGTACTCAACAGATTTATAAAATTATCACTCAGGATTGTTTAAGAACATTATTTAAAAATTATGTGCAATTGCAGAAATGCAGTTTTCAGGAGGTACAAAGAGTCCTTGAAACGGAAAGACACAAAATTTTAATAATGTAGGTGGACAAATAGTAATTTAGTAACCTCTGAAGAAACTGCTAGCATGAGCTAATTAAAATATAAATGTAGTGCCTCTCTCCTGCTGCTTGCTGCCCCAAATCTCTTATGCAATAGCACCTTTCAGCACATCAAAATGAGAAGCCAGTACATGTGCTATTTTTTAAAGAACATTAAATTTTTTAAGCAAGTTGCCTCTTTGTGCAGAGAAATGTGAAGCAAAACAGCCACATGGTCTACTTTAAAGACAACTTGTGTTACCTGTGGTAGGCCAATTTATCCATTCTCTAGTTTTTTACTGTGGCAGAAACTGAATAGATTTCTTTCACCCTAAATTGCTAAGATTTGGTAATATGCTGCAAATCTGATGAAACAGGTTTGCAAAATTTTGTCAAAAAACAAGTTTTCGTATTAATTGTAGAAAAAAAAATTGCTATGAAAGATGTAGTCCATTAGTCTAGAAATAAATGAGACCCCTTCCCCAAAGTAAAATGAAAAGTATGGAACCAGTTGTTTTTATGAAAATACATATAGAAGTGGGGTGGATGGGAAACCCCTAAGAGATGGATTTCAGAAGAGAGAGAAGCAAACATCAGAGCCCCTGAGTGTGTTTGCAGGTCTTTAAGCAATGATATTCTCCTCTAGTGGAGGCAGCCTAAGCTGAAAAAAAATACCTTAATTAAGTGCTTTGTCATTTTTGTATATCCCACTTGAAAGCTCAAAATTAAGAACTAGTTCATTACTTTCTCTCTCTTTCTAGTTTTAATCTTGTGTTTTAAAAAGCCAAACCAATATCCCATGGAGCAAAGGCAGTTCAGACTGGGGGCCTCATTTGGTCCAGTGGATGGGTCCCTTCTGTACTGCCCTTGCAAACACAGAGAAAGAGAGCATCCCGTGTGGATTGAAGGGTTCCAAGTGACCATGACTCTGCAGAGTGTAGGAAAATCTGGGTAGGAAACTGAGGGGCACCCCAATTCAAAAACAAAAAGTACAATTAAAACAATTATAGGACAAAGTTAAAGTGTTTTGTAGTTTTCCACACAGGGAGGAAAACAGATATTAGGCTAATGATTTATATGTGAAGCTGTTTTGAGGGAGAAAGCGTTTATTGTCAGCCTAGCAGAGCTAGGATCCCTCTAGCCCACACAGGAAGAATTCTCCTCTCTCATTCTCCCCATTTTATTCAAAAAACCCCATCTCCGTACATTCCAATATCTTTAAAGCTTGCAGATCTTGGACCTCAGTCATAAAGCAAATAATCCTTATGCCATCTACCAGAGGATTCTGTTTGTTTTGCTCATATAAATAAGTCTGATGTCACTTGCAGTGTGAATAACAGGGCCAGGGTTTGTCCATCTGAAGCAGCATCACCCCTGAGCCAGGCTGATGAGAATTGCTCTCCTCTTTGGTCCAGAGAAATCCATCTCCCTCGTGGCAGCTTGGTGTGAGAGCATATGCAGATGTCTGCCCAGTTACCAGCTGTTCACAGCCAGGTGACTCATTTCCAAGACTGGAATATTAAAAGCAGTGTCAACAGAATTGTTTTTATATGTCTATCAAAAGCCTTAGAAGATTGAATTTCTAGCAAACAGCCTGCAGGAAATGCCTTTGCAACTGTCTTTAACAGCAGCATCAGCTTAATGCTACTGTCCACTATGTGGAAACTGAGTGAATCCCAGAATAATAGTTCCGTTTACTTTTCCTGAAGCAGTGACTGTGTACTCCTTTTTCTGGTGAGATCCCACTCCACAGCCAGCACTGTCTTACAGCCTTGCATGCTCTCAAATTAGACCACATGCTTGTGTGTGTCAGGAAGCATCCTTGTGATGAAGTAAATCAGGCAAATCATTCCATTTAGCAATCCAGACAAATCAAATTAGAGCCTTGCAAAGGAGACTTAGAAAAGATCTCACCAACCATGAGCAGTAAATCAGAGCTCAGCTCCTCCTGACTAAAATGTTACTAAAAGCAAGATCAAAATCACCACCTGGAAGACATATGGTGTGTGGTCTTTGTTTACTGCTCCCACCAACATTGTCAGTGCAATTACTACAGCATAACATGTTTTGTTTCTCACTTATATGTTTCTTCCTGTCTCTCTTCCTTTACAACACTTTCTCTACAAGCTTTTGGGATCCAAAAGCAGGTCCTGGCAGTGAGCCTGTTCTCATGTGCAGGTGAGCATCAGGTGCAGGCTCAGGGACTGTGGAGGCTGCAGGGATGAGCCTGAGCTGCCTCTGCTTCCATTGGGCTGCAGTGATGCAGAGCAGCTGAGCCTCAAACCCCTCTGTTCTTACGATGCTGAAAGAGTAAAAAACAGCCCTTGA